AATAGGGAAGTTCCTGCCGAGTGCCTTACCCGCTGTGCTCCTATTATACCTTGCTATCTATATATTTAAAAACTAATAATATTAAGGCATATTATCTGAAAATTAAACCTTTTTTCCTCTCTCTCTTGAGGGTTCCAACAGATGTTTTTTCCCTTTTCAGAGGCTCTTTAGAGTTTTTGTATCCAAAACTTAGAGTCCATCCCTATTGGAGTTTCTTATGTAGACACATCTTCTAAAACTCTTAGCATTTCTTCACCTGACTTGACATCATAGACAGTAAATGTTCTGTTCTTGTGATTTATATATAAATGTCCTAGTGGAAGCCAACGGTACCTGATGTGTTTTTCTGCCAGACGTTGTGTAATAGGTTTCAAGGTACGACGTGCTGTTAAAATCTCTGGTGGGAGGTCCTGATACACTTGAATCTGGGTGTCTTGCAGTTTAAGTCCATTATTTATCCTTGCAGCTTCTAAAATAGTTTTCTTTACTTTGATGTCTGTCAGTTCAGCCATTATGTCCGGGATGAGAGTGGGGGAGCCTGATTGGGGTGTCTTCAGTCGATAGGCTTGACAAATTGGTGGAGCCGGCAGCTGCAGTAATTCTTGGAGCCATTCATTTAAAGAGCCCGCGAGATCTTTCTGTAAGGCAAAGTTTGGGGAAATTCCCCTAAGCTTGATTTTTTTTTCGCGGGCCTTTGTGTCCAATAATATTATTTTGGACTTGCTCCAAGTCTCAAAAGTCTTTAAATTCTCTATTTCCTTCGAATTTTGAGCAGTCTGCTTCAATGCCTGTTCTGTTCTCTCCCTCAAGTCTGTAAGGCTCAAGTTCATAGCATCAAGCTTTTGGTGGATTGGAGTAATGCTGTCTTTGAACTCTTTTTTCATTTCAACAAACATAGTCTGTATGTCTTTTTTGGTTATAGAGTCCTCACGCTTCCTTTTAGTCTGTCGGCAAGCAGCTTCACCGTCTGACTCAGCTTCTAGTGGGGGAGGAGAGTCTTCATCCGAAGTTAGCATGTTTCTCTCGGTTTGTTTAGACTCTTTGATATTTTTCTTGGCTGCTTTCCCTCCTTTTGGCCTCCCCATTCCTTCCGACAAGCAGTTCTTATCTTAAGAGTCCTTAGTTGATCTTTTTTTAGCGTTATTTGGAGCACAGATGCGGAGGCTCTTTTCGGTCTGACTGCGCAGTCTCGCAGTCACCGGAAGCTTCCCAGAGAAGTGGACTATAAATGAAAATACTTCAGCATTAAATGGTTCAGATGGTATATGGTTAGCATGCACACATACATATGTACATGCTGCATTCCTCAAAACATGTGAAAGCTGTCTTACATACAAAGTATGTAAAGTGCTGTCAAGTCACAGCTCACTTACAGCAGCCCTGTGGGATTTCCAAGGCAAGAGACTAATGATGGTCTCCCATCTAAACACTGACCAGGGCTGGCCCTGCTTAGCTTCCAAGATCTGAGGAGATCAGGTTGGCCTGGACCATCCAGGTCAGCCCTACTATTAATGTTTTTGACCCAATATGTGCAGGACAAGGAAGCCCAAGGCTGGTATTTCTGATACAATCCTTTATTTCCATAATTTGTGAAGCAGGTTTTCTGTGTAAGCAGGGCTATTTTGGGGCAGGAACGCACAGGAACGGAGTTCCGGCTGGCTCCCAAGCTGGCCACGCCCAGCAGGAACTCATTAGCATAATAGGCCACACCCAACAGCAGCAACTCATTAGGATTGGCTACAATTAGGGGTGTGTGGCCTAACATGCAAAAAGCCCTGGTTTTTGACAACAAACAAGGTAAAGAGAATAAGAAGCAATAGGTGGGTGTGGCTGGATGATCACACTTCTGGTAACATGGGGGTGTGGCCTAATATGCCAATGAGTTGTGCTGTCAGGGGTGTGGCCTAATATACTAATGAGTTCCTGCTGTTGGGTATGGCCTATTATGCTAATGAGTTCCTGCTGGGCTTTTTCTACAAAAAAAGCCCTGCGTGTAAGTAAAGTAAAAGCAAAATTTAAAATCTGTATCCCACAGTCAAAATATTTTGGGCAGTTTGCTGAATCTGTTCTACAAGTATTACAAAGCAAAGGCAATTAAAAAAATTTAAACAAAAAACAAAACTAGCAAAGCAAAGGCGGGAAAGGCTTTTGAACTGGTGAGATAGATTGGTAGAAGAATTTGGTTCTGGAAAATGGAAGACAGTACTAGTTGCCCACCATAACACTGGCATGGTGTCTTTCTTAATGGCCAGATACTGCCTGGGGGTTCTGGCCACCTGACTGGATTTCCTAGCTAGGAGCAATGAAACCCAGTATGATCTGCCAAAGCTGGAATCCTCTGGTTGGATGCAACCCAACCAATCATGTAGTCTAAATTCCTGTCCAGTTAGGAAGTCTTCCTAATATACTGCTGACAGATAGCTGTCTAATCTTTCATTGTCAACCTCCAAGGAAAGTGATTTCATCCTGGAGTCTTCTTGGACAAGATTTCTGTTAAATCTGCAAAGATGCCTGCCATCACAGAACCTGCAAAGGTTTCATTAGTACATGCTGTTAAGAGCGCTGCTTGTATTTTCTTCTTTGTCTGATGATGGTGATAATAGAGCTGATATCTTTTATAACCTGGTCTCTATCCAATAGTTAACAAGGGGTGCTGTTTTCTTCTAATCCCCTAAAACCAGCCACACTGAAATAGAATGATGTCAGGTTTTATTTTAGCTGTGCCAGGGATACAGTCCTCATGACTTCCCTATGCTTCATGAGAATTTGCTTATTTGAGATGTTTGTTTTGCTGAAAAGGCATTTGCATCTACCTACGCTTGCATGATCTAGAAAAAGGGTAGAGGAGGAGATGCCATCTAGATGGGAGTCCTAAACAGATGGATTTGCTGGTCAAGACCACTCTTAAGCAGTATGGGAGTCAAAGTATGGCAACTTTATCCTTTGACAGGAGTTCATGACCCATTTCTGGCTGGGGAAGCTTCCCTAGAACAGCTCGAAGGGGAAGGGTGGTGGATAGGCATAATCAAAACTGCCATTCATTATCCTCTGAGATCCTCTTTGGGATCACAGTGGTATTTATGGAGCCTAAGGGGAAGGCAGGCTCTGCCCATGATATTTTGGTACAGAGCATTCAAATGGCATCTTACCTCCACTAATAAACATGGGCACGAATGGTCCATTGGGGGGAATTATCCTGTGTAATCTGCACTGAACTGAATAGGAGCTGTGCAAGAGCACTTACATGCCCTTCTCAGTGGACTTCTCATGGGAGAACTTTCTGATGGATGGTGCCCCTTCAGTAGAAGAGAGTAAGCATTGGCTAGGGCACGAGGGATAGAAGCAGCCTGCTTGGCTGGAAAGGCTGTATTAGAGAACAGGTACAAAACCTTTCCTACTGTGTAGGCTTGCAAAAGGGACCAAGCCACGTTATAGTTGTTGCAATAGATCCCTCTGGGATTACTTTATTGCAGCCATGCTTCCCCAAGTGGAAGTAAAGGTGCACAAATGAGTTTACCTAAGTTGTAGGACGAACTAATAGGCTTCTCCCCGTGGCTCCACATACAAGGAGAGGAGAATGATGTAAGCTACTTTGGGTCCTCATTGGGCAGACAGGCAGGGCACAAATGAAGCAAATAAATAAATTATTATATGCTGTTTGTGAGGCTGATTTTTTCAGCTAATATTTGTCAGCTGTCTTGGGGAGAGAATATTGGATCTGCTAGACAGAGCAGGACAATTTTTCATCTGTGCTGGAACAACAAGCCGGAGAAGCAGCCAGTGACAGGTTGTGTTGAGGTGCTTCCAAGGTTAAGATGATCTTTGCTTTGTATAAAGTGATCAGGCCAGCGTGCAACAAAAATAAGGGATTCTTGGAGATGAAGTCCTATATTCAGGAGGCAACTCCAAAAAAATGTCTTGGAGATCTACTTGGAAAGAGT